AATATTAACTAAGTGTCCAATATGCACTAAATGTAAATGTTAAAGTATATGTTAGACAATAATGGCATTATAGATAAATAACTTTGTAAACTAGTAGACTTTAAAATAATGACAATTTAGTTTGGGAGACAGTAAAATGAACTTATTTTAATTTTTGTTTTTTTCTCTCTTAAATTGTTTATTTTGCTTTCTAAAATTGATGATGGACAGTTTAAATGAAAAGTTTGTTAGATTGTACTTTTAACAAGGGCACTCACATGGAGAGTTAATTATGGTGTAACTAAGTATCCACATATTGGTAGACTACATTTGAGGATTAGCACTATCCTTGGAGGATAGGAGTGTGTCCAACTGGCCACAGATTTGTTTACTGCCAATTTGCACTGTGGGTCATATGGGGTGATTTGTGTCTTGGCAGGTACTGCGGATTCGCGGACACATTATACGACTGTAGGTCGGGGAGTCAGGTCATGACTCCTTTTTCACACACCATGGACAAGCCTTATGGAGATAGTCCATGACGCCCACTGTTATAAATCACGGTGTCGTTGGTTAAACGGCTTGGGAGTGTATACATACCCCCAGGCGTCTTACTTGCACAGTAAGTGAAGTAAGGTGTGATTGGGTCCCGGACGATTTGGGTGTCCACCAAATTATTATTTATATCATTACCCATATGATTTGAAAGTGTAATGAGTAGTGACGTGTTTGTGTCAAGGCTGATATACCATTTCTACCCGATTAGGGAGGAGCTTACCCATTGAATGTATATACCCATTAAATATGTGCCAGATAGTTTGTCCTTAGGTGATTGACCCAAAAGTACATGACATATTTTTTTTTTACGGTAACTAAATATTGACGATAAAATTTAAAAACATGACTGTACATGATGGCAGGCCATGCTTTTGCTGATACTTGACTTTGTCAGGAAGTATCAGTTCAGAGGAAGGGTGAATGTCACAACCCTATTAAGTACAGTCAGTGTACCACACCGTAAGGTGTGCACCCCAGGGTTGACACAGAGGTCAGGGCCGTCACTGGTCGAGTCCGTTCTGTGATCGCACGGCGAAACCAGCGCTCAGGATAAAGCAAGAAAGCTTGAACTGTGTTTTAGTAACACGATGACTGCTTCTGGGACTGAGCTGGTGACGGGGTCAAGAGACACGAGGGAGAAGGAAGAAGGACATTCGGTGTGCGGTCGGTCAGGAAGAGAGGACGTTTAGTGACTGGATCATTTTATGTTATAGTATTAAAGTTAGGATATATTTCTGTTAGTGACTGGATAGTTTATGTACAGTTTTGTGTTAGGATAGGATAGTTCTTGTGTAGAGTATTTATGTATATGTGCTGTGAGAGAGTGGCTAACCTGGACACTCTGACCCTGCACTAAGACAGAGACTGTGACAGTTTGATTGGGTCAAGCGTGGCGATAGAAGAGAGCGTATCCTGCCGGATTGTGGTTTGTACACCAGAGTATTGCCTGTCGCACGTACTGGGGACGGGGGCGATTGTAAGCCCGTCCAGCCAGAGGGTCCAGGCAATAGGTGGCCCACACGGCGGGAAGTCAACTGTCTATGTATTACCTGTACTTCCAATAAAGATTGTCGTGTGTGCTCTGTGTGCGTTCGGGTTCAGTGTGTGTTGTAGGTTAGGCTGTCTGTCATAGGCCTAGTTAACGAGCCACGGACCGGCAAAGGTCATACCAGAGGTTTGTGACACACAGAATCAATTCTTAAACACAAATACAGTGAACCAAATTGTTTGCTCACTTGGGGAGAATGCCTTGTGATGCCATACCATACAAGGCATACTTCTTCAGCATTCCGAGCCCTCAATGTTCATTGCTGCAGATATCACCTGCCTCCATTTATCTCTCTGATTGGCCTTCTCTTTCCAGTTGGTAACACCAAGTGTTTGCAGGTCTGTCTGGATATTATCTCTACATTGTCTTCAAGGCATACACCAAAAGAAATTACATCAGAGGAACTCTACAACAGCATGATGTCTCTATGTTCCAGGTGGCTAGAAGAGCATGAAGCAGAACCTTATAGCTCCCTCGACCCCTGAAGTTGTAAAAGAAGAAATAAAGAAGAAGAGAATTATTAGCTGTGATATGTATATTGTATAGTCAGGCAGTTATTTTCTGGTCTTTCAAATTCTCATGCAGGCAAGTGATTACATTATCAAAATGTACAAGGACATCTTTCTGAAGTTTGATGCCTCCATGGTGGAGATCAACCCTATGACTGAAGACAATAATGGCAATGGTAGGTTCTTTGTCAGTCTGTAAATTTGTCTGAATTATTTGTGACTTGAGCGTTGATTATTAAGTTTATTTTAGCTATTTGTCACTTGACCATTGATAATATTGTCTTTTTCCAATTTTGTTTTAGAGTTGTTTTATTTGTATAAATTATTTGTCACTTGAAAGTTGATGTTCTGTTTGTTGCAAATGGCTGAAGACAATAATAGCATGGGTAATCTTGTATTTATTAATCTTAAATTGTTATCTTTTTGTCCTTGTTAATTCTTTGTAGCTTCAGAGTTTTGTCTGTATTGATTGTTATTGTTTTACTCTTACATTTTATTCTATCCAGTGCGCTCCTTTCGATATCACAGGTAGAATTCAGTCCCCTGTCATCGTTTATCTTAGGGTTTCTCTTTGGCGAGCTCTTTTCCACAATCCATTTGCTTTCATATTTCAGTGCCTGCTTTATTCTATCTGTTTCTTCTTCGTGATGTGGCCGTTTTGTTTTTTTCCATCTTGTTTGACTTATAATACAAGAAGCATGCTATTTGCACTTATGTTTCATCAGCATTCAAAGAAGCAGAAAAAGAAATAGAGACAGGGGAACACAACCATAAGAGCCTGCTGGAAAGACTCACAGTTCCTGGCCAGATTCCATGCCCTGCCTTTTTATGCTGAAGATGTCTAATGTCATGCATCCATCTACATGTTGGTCAATTCCTGCCTCGTATTTACAAGAGGCATGCTGTTCTTTATTTTGATAACCAGAACTGCAGCGTTTAAAACCCTTTTAGCACGGGAAGTTTTTCAGATGTCTAGCCAAAAACACGGAGCATTTTTTCAGTAAATTTGGTTATAATTTTATTTTTTATTTTTTTTTTTTTTGACACATTTCTGTTATTCTGACACCCATGAAATAATATATTTATTTGAAGGATATAGATTAAAGTTAAGGATTTTCACAATATTGTTAAAATGAATTGATGTATATGCAAAAAATCTCATTTGCATATCTAAAAATAGAAAATTAGAATGTGAATTTTCAACTTCGATGCATGAAACATAAAACTAAAATATATTTTATTTGAATTCTTTTTATTGATCTTTGGCCTTTTTATAAATATTGTAAGCAATTCAATAGTCAAAAACAGGTGTATATATATATATATATATGAAACAACAATAATATCTTTAGGTGACGTGTGTTTTTGACCATCAGTCAGCACAAGAATTGGATGTGCCGGAGTGCCAACATCTTTGGGTAGATGTACCCTAAGCCATGGTTGGGCTGTGGTCTGAACACAACAGCGTCCCCATCTGATTCCCCACTATTACTACTAACACTAGAACCTGCATCAGTATCAACAGAATTAGTGTCATTACTTGATTCAAATGTTTTATCAACATCAAGTTTAGGGGCAGAAACATAAGAGTCAGACATACTTTTAGCAGTTCAGGTCACTATCTAAAAAATTCAACAACAATTTTAACTTCGACACCAAACACTAGAAAGTCGCCATGTGTAAAGCTAATACAGCGGTGAATATAAAAGAATCACTTTCAGTGTTTCAAAATAGGAGATTTCTTAGCGTGTCGAGGCGAAACACGATCAGGCTGATGATCGGCCGTTCCGTGTTTTTGGCCAGACATCTGCCGGCCGACAATCGGCCCGTCCATGCTAAGAGGGTTAATATGGCTACAGTATTTCAATTTCAATACGTTAAATAAACTTCTTCTTCTTCTTTCGTTCGCTTGAAATAAAGTATCTTTAATTGCAGTGCTGTCTCTAGTATGAACTTCACTGTCTTTTGTAACTCACTCAGCGACCGGTAAAGTTTGACTTGCACAGATGTTTCTCTTGGCCAAAAGTTTTGCCTTGATATGTTGTATTTGGGACAGTCTTGGAGGACATGATCTGTTAAATAAACTGATGTGCTGTGTACATCAACACACACACACACACCCACCCCCCCTCCACCCGCACACACACACACACACACCACACAGAGCGAGAGTGAGTGCCATGCATCAGCAGCTGATGTTCAAGTGTCTCTTTAACCTGTGTTTCAGTCTTCTGCATGGATGCCAAAATCAACTTTGATGACAATGCATATTACAGACAGAAGGAAATTTTTGCTCTCAGAGACTGGAGCCAGGAAGATGAGAGAGACTACAGAGCTGCCCAGGCAGATCTCAACTACATAGCTCTTGATGGTAACATTGGCTGCTTGGGTAAGAGAAGCGTGCGGTTTCATATGTACTGTGTTATCTTCTTGGTTTGTCTTTTTTCCTCTTTCCCCAGTTACCTCTATCAGAAAAGGAACGAAACTAAATTACAACATGGATAAATAGACAAATCTGTGCCTAGTAAACAGACAGATGGACCGACAACCTCAAGAGTTGAGTTGATTCAAGAACCGACATCACAGCACTTGGTGCATTCTCTTGAGCGCTCAGTCCCCATCTTCTAGCAGCCAGTGCAGAGTTCCATTACCAATGGTGCCAGTAGCATTCTGATTATATGTCAAGAACAACCTTCAAGAATTTTAAACCAATATGTACATCACATTGAAAGATGAAGAGATTATTGGGGGATGCGTTAGCGAAGTCTTTAATAGGCTCGCTTTCAAATCCAGCTGCGACTCGCTGCAGCCACGGTCAGTGTTTGAAACCGGGTAGCCGGGGTTCACCCATCCTCTAGGTAATGGGTACCAGAGTGATACTCTGGGGTAAATGGAGGAACGTCGCTGTAGCAACAGAGTTACGTGCATACGTTGACACAGGCGGACAATTCTTTTCAGCTGTCCGCACTGGTGGCAGATCACTTATGGTTTATAACCATGTGCGATGACGCTGGTTCACATCTCCCGACTTTACCTTTTTTTTTTTTTTTAAGAGATTATTTTATGTCTGTTTAGTAATGCTAGTGCATTTTTATATGTAGGTTTAATAATATTACTACAGCATCATCATCAGTCACCATGTCCTTTACCTTACATCTCAGGCTAATCTCCAGCCCTATGTGCTTTCATAGCCGATGTCTCTTCAGTGTCTTGTATCCACCTTCATGGAGGTCAGCCTCTGCCTCGTTTTCCAGAAACTGCACCCAAAATCACTGTTCTCACTAGGCCACCATGTCATTTAACATGGACAAAATACTTTTTTTTTGTTTTTTTTTTGTTAGCAGATTTCTGTGTTTTCTCTTCTTCTTCTTTGTCCACAGCTTTCTAAGTTTTTTTGTTTGTTACTACATGTTTGTGTGAGTTTACTCAGGAGGAGATCAGAGCACTTATGGTCATGTCTGAAATGTGATTTTCTGTTACTACATGTTTGTTTGAGTTTACTCAGGAGGAGATCAGAGCACTTATTGTCATGTCTGAAATCTGTTACTACATGTTTGTTTGAGTTTACTCAGGAGGAAATCAGAGCACTTATGGTCATGTCTGAAGTGTGATTTTCTGTTACTACATGTTTGTTTGAGTTTACTCATGAGGAGATCAGAGCACTTATGTTCATGTCCTAAGTGCAATTTTCTGTTACTACATGTTTGTGTGAGTTTACTCAGGAGGAGATCAGAACACTTATGTTCATGTCCGAAGTGCAATTTTCTGTTACTACATGTTTGTGTGAGTTTACTCATGAGGAGATCAGAGCACTTATGTTCATGTCCGAAGTGCAATTTTCTGTTACTACATGTTTGTGTGAGTTTACTCATGAGGAGATCAGAGCACTTATGTTCATGACCGAAGTGTGATGAAGGTGATCTTTAAGTGAACATTGAATAATGTGCAATAGTTATTTGCTTTTTATGTGTGTCCGGACTGAGTAATGTTGCTACATTGTTTTGGTTTGTCTTCAAGTTAATGGTGCGGGTCTAGCCATGGCTACGATGGACATCATCAAACTCCATGGTGGTACCCCTGCCAACTTCTTGGATGTTGGGGGAGGAGCCACAGCTCAGCAGGTCACAGAGGCGTTCAAGCTGATCACTTCTGACAAGCAAGTAAATATATCCATGGCTTCATCTCTTTGTGTAGAATTTGATCATATATAAATCCTTTGAGTTGCTTTTTACCCCTTTCTCGAAAATGACCTTGGCTGTCAGATCAACCCAGCCTAAAACGGGTACCAGGTAATTTCATGGGAAGTAAAGGTTTCCGGGTTAATGTTAGTTACATCTTTAAAAAAAATATGAGTCTGGCATCATGGGCCCAATACGCCGCTGTTGTGGAAAAGATACTTTTCCTTTCTTTACCTGATATTACTAATGCTTTAAATGTACTGAAGTAACAGTTTCATCTATGTGTCATCTTACAGTCTTAAGCTTTGTGGCAGTGGTAGTCATGTGTTTCCAGAATTCTGTCTTGTCTCATGTACTCTTGATCATTTCAAGCACATTTGTTCCTCCTTGATGCCAGTATCTTCTCTCTTGGTCTCTTTCCCTCTAACTTTCCCATTGCTAAACTGACTCCAGTTTTCACTTCATAGTGTTAACTAAAGAATGTAAATTGTCACCTTCTGATTGGTTAGCCGGAGGGTGTAATCAGGTCCCTTTCTCAGTTAATTTCTCTCAAGGCTTCTTCATTACACTTCTTATTTGTCTGCAGTGTTTTCATGATTCCTCTGTAAAACCTCGTCTCTGCGGTATTCCAATAATATTTCGCTAACCAGGCTTGCTGTCTATGATTTGTGTTCTAGATGGTTTATAAGGTTTGCTGCCAGTTTCTTGCCACTTTTTCTGCCTAGGGAACTATTGCTTATTTGTTAAACTATATTGATTTCCATCCCTTCGTTAGAACATCTGTCACCTGAAGATTGAAGCTGAACCACACATTTCATTAGCCAGAGCATAGATTTGAAAATGTAGGCTTTCAAGTTTATCAGTGTTATTGTTGTTTTTGTCTCTTCTAATATTGCTGTTTGTTTGTATTTGTGTGTGGGTGCGTACGTGCATATCTCTCTCTCTCTTTCTCTCTCTGTCCCAGAGATGTTCGGCTGTCTTTGCTTCGTCCACCCCAGCGATGTTGAATTATCTTTGCTCGTATATTCCAGAGATGTTGAGTCAGCTTCTCTTGACTATCCCCAGTACTGCCAAGTTGTTTACTTATAGCTGTTCTTAGTTTTAATTCTTGGCTGTAACCATCACTGTTGAATTGACATTTAGAGAAATATCTGCCAATTGTCGAAACTGAACTATCAATGTCAATTTCTCTCTGTAGGTCAATGCGATCTTGGTGAACATTTTCGGAGGAATCATGCGTTGTGATGTCATAGCTCAGGGTATTGTGGCTGCAGCAGAGCAGCTGTCCCTGAAAGTACCCATTGTGGTCCGGTTGCAAGGTAATCATTCTGCAAGATCTTGTAACTTTGCAGTTGTCTGGTTATAGTTGAAACTTAGTTTTAATCCCATGAATGATTTTTCTGTAATCTGTTGATAGGATGAACATTTATATATACCAGGTAATTTGCAACTGTTTTGAGATGCCATATCAGTTCCATTTTGTGTTTACCCCTCACAAATTTCAGATGCGTGATTTACGAAGCTTAATCAGTACAGAGCCCTATACAGGCTAACAAATGTATGTGCTGAACTGGGAAGGTGCGGCATTGGATAGGACATGAGCTGAGAAAACCTGATAATAGTATAACTAGTATGTCCTTTCACAAGAATACAAAAAGCTAGATGGAAAAAATGTCAAAGATAATTAGAGATGGATTTGAGTAATAAAGGGAAGGACGTGGAAGGAGCTGCCTGAAAATGCAAAAGAAAAGACTGCTGAGGAACTATTCTTCATTGGGAAGGAGAAAAACTTGGAAATTTAGCTGAAATTTTGAGATTCAAAGAAGCTTGGACACTTGTCATCGCTTGCTACAGCATTTACAGGTTTTTTTTGGGTTTTTTGTTGAAGGATAATTTTATGATAGTGTCACAGCTTTTTCTGTTTTGTCCTGGTAGTTTCTTACATTTCTAGTCATTTTTGCAAATGGGCTATGAATGGAAAAGAGATTACTAAAACAGCCATTGTCTTGCAAATTAGAAAACCAGGCCACTACTGAATATTATTCTTCTTCTTCTTTCGTTCGCTTGAAATAGATTATCTAAATCTGCAGTGTTGTCTCTAGTATGAACTTCACTGTCTTTTGTAATTCATTCAGCCATGGGGAAAGTTTGACTCGCACCAGTGTTTCTCTTGGCCAAAAGTTTTGCCTTGATATGTTTACTGAACTCTTTGGGCCCATGAAGTTTTTATTTTTTTTAATCGACTTTTTACAAAGTGGGAAAAATAATTCTCTGAAACTGTACTCTAAGAAAAAAGAGGAGAAGGAGTCACAGAAGAATTTGATAGTCTCAGTCAGTGTCTGTAAAATTCAACGGGGGTTCAATTCAATCTATGACCACCTAGCAGACAGCTAAGCCTGCTAGCCACTGCAGTGCCAAGATCTCCAGGTCATATTTTGTTTTTACACATTTGTAACCCTTTTGCTCCGAAAATGCTGAAAAACTGTCACTTCTTGCTGACATTTCCCCGTAAATGTCTTTTACAGATATGTTTAAATTGCTGGAGTGGTTTCCTGTCAAGTATGTGTGTCTGATTTCCAGGTACTCGAGTAGATGATGCTAAAGCCATTATAGCCGCTAGCGGGTTGAAAATCTTAGCCTGTGATAACCTGGATGAAGCTGCCAGTATGGTAAGTACACTGCGGGTCCGGGTTTTTTTCTGTTTACAACACATAATAGGAGCAGCTGGGCTTTTTTTTAAATATATATAAATATATAATCTCCATTTCTACATCGACCTGTCCTAAAGTTGGTACCAGATAAAGTCCTTGGAAGTAAAGGTGGCCAGCAGGATGTTGGCCACATCACAAATCAACCAATCTCTCTAGGTGATGCCAGCATAGTGGGTAATGAAAAGCAGACAGATTGGCTGGATCAGCACCACTGGGTGGTGAACTGACACATGACAAGGCAGATGTGGTCAAGGCCCTTAAGGAACAGGCAACGGGATCAGTAGAGAAAGAAGATTATTATGGCCTGGAGAGAATGAGGCACCTGGGTGTAACCAGAGGGTCTGCCTGGCTCACTACGCTCAGAGAAAAGGCTTTGGCTGCTGAAGATAGGGACAGAGCACCGTTGGGAATGCCCTGAGTGCTGTGATGTCAATTCTTGACTCAACTCAACTCAGCCTAATCAAGTGATAGTTGGTCTATAAAAGTATATGTCTAACATTATATGCCCAATATGCCACAGGTGTGAAAAGGATCTTTCACTTATTTACGTAAGAAAGAGGCAGTGTTCTATAGCCATGTGATGAGAAGATGGGGCATTAGACAACATTGTGATGACCTGCAAGATCAGCATAGACTTTGGGCTGGCTGAGGAAAATCATGTTGGATGGTCTATACTGGGGCATGAAGAAATATCTTTAATAAAACCGATTCAGAATGCAAGGACTAAGATCTACGGAGAATGATTATGAAGCTCTAGAGTAACGGTTCTCAACCTATGGGTTGCGACCTTTTTTACGGGTCGACCTACCCTTTCACATGGGTCGCAAAGGACCATTGCGAAACAAATATTCATTGAAGTTATGAAGTAGCGACGAAAATAATTGTTTGGTTGTGGGTTGCCACAACATGAGAAACTGTATTAAAAGGTCGTCACAACATGAGGAATGCAGTGTTTATGGCTTAGGCGTTGTGACTTGTAATTCCAACGTACCGCAATCGAAACTCACTGTTGGCTGCGTGAATTTTTATTGTGGTATGGGGCGTCGCAGGTCGACCTAACCTGAAAAGGGTACCAGGATGGATGTTCTGGGGAAGTTAAGATGGCCGGAGTAATGCTGACCACACTACCCACCCAGTACCGATTGGTCTGTAAAAATATGGGGTACTCTACCCATCTGCCCGATGCGCCTAAAGGTGCGAAAAGTGATCTTTACTTACAACATGAGGAACTGTATTAAAGGGTTGTGGCTTTAGGAAGGTTGAGAACCACCGCTCTAGAGTAAAAGAGAGACCACCAAGCAAGGCAATAATGTTCTTCTAATGAATTATGAGTTAAGGACCAACATCATAGCACTCAGGACATTCTCATAAGCGCTCCGTCTCCATCCTCAGCAGTAAGGGCAGAGTTCCAGTTCTAATGGTACCAGCAATAGTCTGACTGTATATCCATCTGTTAATCTTAGGTAGGAGAGATATAGACACAGCCATGTATATCTCAATGGAGAAATGATCTAGCCAATTGCCTTGTGCTCTGAAGGTCATCAATTCATTTCATGGCTGCAGCTTTTGGTTCTCAAATGCAATTTTTAATGGAGATCCCCGTGGATTGTTGCTGGAGCTATACTTTCAGATGCTGTTCTGTGGAGGAAGACAAAGCCAGACAGTATAACTCCTGGTCCAATGAAGTTGATGCTCTCGGCTGTAACCTTAACTTTGACTTTAACAAAACAAGACTCTCAGTGTGTGTTTCAGTGCCCCATTTAAAAAGAAAAAAATATTCAAAACAATAGACACACTGCCTCCCTAACAAGCATGTTGACTAATAAGGGATCTCCTTCAAAGGTGTAGTGTGTCTAGGTAAGAAACCAACAGTCTGCATATAAATAAACCAGATCTGTAAAATGGATGTGCATTCAAAAAAAAAAAAATTCAAAGTTCTGAAACAAGACTCAAGTCCAGAAGTGGATGAACAACTAGCACTTGCCACTGGAGTTTACAGCCAGTGAACATGGAAAGTAGAAGAAACATGACTTTTATGTCTAGACTAATAAATTTAAGTCTAAATAATTTAAGGAACCTCTAACTGCATTTGTATCCTTCAATTCCAGGTTGTCAAACTGTCCAACATTGTGACCCTGGCCAGAGAAGCTGCCGTAGATGTTAAGTTTGAGCTGCCACTGTAAATAATTCAAAAATTAGTTTATCTTTTGTGTTAGTTTTGGTTCTGTTATATTTCCGGCATTCTCATCACTTAATTAAACTTCATCCCGGGTTCTCAGCCTAGTACGTCCCCGTCCCAATGTGGGACACAATTTTTGGGGGGGTTAATTTAAAGCCCCACCCGGTTGTCGTAGTTGGCCCTAAATATAACCTACAGGGTTTCTGGGACTTGCGCCCGGGTGATTCTCATCAGAATGCTGGCACTTCGTGTCAGTGGGTGTTTGTCGCTCGTTGTGAGGTCTTGGTGCTGCTGAACGTCTGTCAGTCTTATCCTGTTTTACTCATTGCCCCAGTTCTTAGCCTCAGTAACCAATGTATCCTCTTTAAGACTTTGGCAAGTGGTACTGAGAGTCGACCATTCAGAGGCAGTGTCAAATTATCTAGTAATATCAAATAGCCCAAACAATCGGGGTAGGTTCTGTAACTTCCTGTAAAGAATTTGCAAACAAATTTTTTTTTTTTTTAATAACTCTTAACTTAGATGGACAATTTTATGTTTATGTAATTGAGGTAATACCAACAGCCCACAAAAATGCAGGGTTGGTTCTGCAACATCCTAAAAAACAAAATGCAACATAATTTGATTTAATCTTTTTTTTTTTAAACTATTTAAAAAAATTCTTCAAACTTAGGTGGAAATTGTAATGTTTATTTAACTGTGGTAGTAAATGAAACCTGTATATGTCACTTAAATTAACTGCTGGAATTTTTATATACAACTCTGTGTTGTTGTTAGTAGGTCCACAGTAATGATCAGTTTTGTCTCTGTAAAACACCAGTGAGTTTTGTATGTAGATCTGTAGAATAAAACCCACGTCAGAGACTATTTTGTGCTTTTTAACTCCTTTTTTTAATGAAATAGTGGAGGTACACAGCAAGTATAATAAAATAACACTTGCTGGACATACGGAAAAGTACCAGTGAGTGTATTGGCTAATGCAGTGCCTGTGCCAGTGTAGGAACATGGGTTTGAATACAAGATGCCCATAGCACATTGGAATGTCATATTCTGTACATAGCCTCATAGAGTTTACTGTTTTGCTTTTTACCTGGCCAGTAGGTAGAGCATGACGTTTGTTTGTAAAGCTTGTTTGTAACTGACTTTTTTTTTCTTATTGATGCATTAATATAAGCCAACTGTCCTTACGTGAGGTTTGTCAGTTCCCTTGTATTTTGCAAGAAGTTACCAAAGAGAGTTATAAAATATAACATATATAAGAAACAAACAGAGTTACTAAGTAGGAAGATTTGTATTTCATATGTTTATCACAAAGTCACATTGCTTATAGACTAGCTGGTCACACTGACATGCTGTAACTTGTGCTGCATATAGTTTGTGTACACAGATTTCTTTCTTTAAAAAAAAAAAAACATATTTTTCTCAAGAATTTCTTGAAATTTATTTCGAGGATTCCTCTTAAGTTTTATTTCAAAGGCTCCTTGAAACTTTTTAAAGTATTTCAAGGCATTCTTGTGATATGAAAATTATTTCAAGGATTCTTGTGATATGAAAATTATTTCAAGGATTCTTGTGATATGAAAATTATTTCAAGGATTCTTGTGATATGAAAATTATTTCAAGGATTCTTGTGATATGAAAATTATTTCAAGGATTCTTGTGATATGAAAATTATTTCAAGGATTCTTGTGATATGAAAATTATTTCAAGGATTCTTGTGATATGAAAATTATTTCAAGGATTCTTGTGATATGAAAATTATTTCAAGGATTCTTGTGATATGAAAATTATTTCAAGGATTCTTGTGATATGAAAATTATTTCAAGGATTCTTGTGATATGAAAATTATTCCAAGGATTCTTGTGAACATTATTTCCAGGATACCTTGCAATTTGAAAGTAATTTCGTGTAAATTTTTTTTTTTTTTTTTTAAGGTTTGAAAATTATATAATTATTTCAAGTGTAAAAAAAAAACATTTGGTACAGGAAAAGGTAGATACAACAAAACTTCAAAAAAGGGAAGCATACAATTTATTAACCTGCTTTTCTATCCTTAATCAAGTCAGCAAAATGTATACATTTTGAGTTGGCTGACTCTCTTTCAGTTTCATGATTCATTTGTGGTTCTTATGATTTATCAGCAAAGGAATATTGTTTTGTTTGAGTTGGCAGTTTATTCATTTTATGCTGCCATACATTGAACTACATGTTTTGTTTGTGTTGCTTTATTAGATCTTTAATTGTGTTTGGTAGCATTTCAGTATATATTGGTCAGAGAGTGATTATTTCTGATCAGGTTTTTCCTGACCCTGTTTGGTTGATTCAGTGGTTTATGCATTTATTGAACAGATATCTAGACCAGGAAATAGTTACAGAGAGTGGACTGTAAAGTGTCATGATCTTCTACAAGCTGCAGTGGTGCAGAAGTTTGATGCTTACCCTTTCAGCCTAAACGTCTTGGGTCTGATTCCACATCCGGGCAGATTTTACCTTGACTCCCAGGTCAGTCTAGCCTAAAGGGAGTACCAGGAAATGTCCTGGGAAGTAAAAGCAGCCATCATGTTATTGACCACATCACCCATCAACTGCCGATTGGTCTGTAATAACATGAGTCTAGCACTCTGTGCCCAGTGGTTCACTGGCGTAAAACGGGGCCGTTACTTTAGATGAGTCTCTACATCAGTCGGCAAGGCAGTTGTATATTTTTGTGAATTGTTTAAGATACCTTTGTTTGTTTGTTCATTTGATGCTAATGATATTACACTAGTTGCACATAACCTCACTACTGAATAACATGCTTTTTGATTTCTTTTGCTTGTAAATAGTAGAGAGACGTAGCTGTGAATTTGGATTGGATTTTTGAGAAACAAAAAAAAAGAGATAAAACTTGCTCCTTTTTTAACTAGCTAGACACCTTGTTTTATTGAGGAGGGTTTTCTTTACTATCTTATATGAATTCCTATTCTTTGGGGTGCAGTTCACACAAAACTGTGACTTGAAGAAAAGGATTAAATAGATCAGGACGAGTGTGAGAGAATTTTAGTCATTTGTTCTGGCTTATAAGAGAGATGAAGACAGTGGTAAAACATGGGAGCATTTCATTCATTTCTTCTGACTGCTGGAAAAAAACGGGGGAGGGGGTATGATGAAACTGGAAAAGCATAAGAGAGCTTCAATAATGTATCTAGGCTAGTAGAGAGAGGAAGAAAGAGACAGACTATACTGTGTGGTAGAGTTTCAGTTATTAATATTGGCTTGAACAGAACGATGTTGGTGTATTAAGAGAGATAGAGATTTAGAGAAGATTGTAAAAATAGTTTAGTTAGTGTAATTGAGAAATAGAAGGATAGAAAGGAGTGTGGAAAAGCGGAATAGTAATTGGAAAACATTCTGGCTTGTATATAGAAAAGGCAAAGAGAGAGAGAGAGAGTGTGTGTGTGTAAGAGTGTTGTATTTGTAATCTGAATAGTTTTGAGAAAATGGAAAAGGGGGGAGGTGGGTGGGTTTAGAGATTGTATTTGAAGAGAGAGTTTGGCTTGCTATATTTCTAGTTTATAGAGACAGTCTTTAAAATAAATTGGGTTCATCTCTGAACCCCCAGATGTTGCATTGCTGATAGAGCGTGTTTATATCATAGTTTTTTTTTTTTAAATATCTTCCAAGACAGAGTGGTAATAAGCCAAGAGGTGATATACTTTCTTTTTTTGGGGGGGGGGCGGGGGGGGGGGGGGGGGGGGGGGACTACATATTGTGGCAATGGTTGTGTGAAACTTTGCGTTTGTTACCAATTTTTTTTTTTTTTTTTTTTTTTCTACTGTAGTATATTTTAACAATAGGTATATAAAATAGGGTGTGAGTATGTTAGTGAATTTGTATTATGTTGTTACAGTTTGAAAAGACAGCCTGTTTGTGCGCGACTAATTTGTATTGATACATTTTGTTGTTGTGCTATACACAGCCATTTCTTAGTGAATTAATTAGTAGTGTGTTGTAGCTGTCATTGAAATATATAGCTTATGCTAATTATCTTGACCTCTTAACAAGTATCTATCTCAGAAATTGTGTGCCTGCTCATGGATTAACAGGTCATATTTTGTTATGACAGTTGGTATGTAAAACACATTTTGTGTTAGTAAATTAACTTGGAGTACTGAGTATGTATGCATACCTAAAACTAAAAAATTTAGACTGTCACTCCAACAATGAACTAAAAACTTGAAACTATGGGTGGTATGTGAAGACTTCTGTTTATATATGTTTTGTTAGATAAGTGGTTTTCAACCTTCCTAAGGTTGTGACCCCTTAATACAGTTCCTCATGTTGTGGTGACCCCTGGCCATAAAACTAATTTCATTGCCTCTTCAAAACCTCAGTGAATGTGTGATTTTCAATGGTCTTAGACGACCCCTGTATGAGGGTCATTTGACCCCCAAAGGGTTCGCAACCCACAGGCTGAGAACTGCTGTGTTAGATTGTATGTTGGTAGACCTTGTGTGTGCTTTATATATATAGTTGTATGTGCATTGTATTCTTGTGTGGGCTGTGTCTTTCTGTATGTTGTATATTGGTAGTTCTTGGTGTATATATTGTATGTTGGTACATCTTGATATGTGTGCGTTAATTTGTGTGTCGAGTTGGTTAATCATCAAACTGTTTAGAGTGTCCTTGTAGAGGGTGTATGTCAGGGCATCTTGTATGTGCTATATGTTTAAATCTTAGTGTGTGTGTGTGTGCTTTCTGTTTTTGTACATGTTGCAGTGGATGCTGCTCATTGTTTTATGGTGACATATGTTAGTATGTATGTGTTCATCCTCTGTGTTGAACTGTTTTTGTTATATGCAACTGTGTGTGCTGTGTAATGAAATAGTTGTGTATATTCTGAGGATTGATATACATTGTAATGTGTGTTTTTATCTTGACATGTATTTGCCTAATAATAATATATGTTGTATACAGAGTATGTTGGAGCATGTTAATGTGTTTGCTATATATTGATAATT